GTATGTATTCCTTACCACATCAGGAAGTACGCAAGGACTGGTATACTGTGGTGTCTGTGGATGCATGGGTGTGATACTTGTGAATGGGTTCAGAGCAGCTAGTTTTAGTGTGGTCATTTAAGGAAAAAAACAAACTAGAGTAAGACGGTGCTTACTACTGTTATATGTCATTTCATTGGATTCAGCCCATCATTCCATCATTTGGATCCTATGTCTGCTGACTATCTCCTCAGATTCACATCTGAGGAGTGAAGATTTGCTAAGACTGTTAACTTTACATTCATCCAAAGCAGCATAAAAATGTTGACCAGGATAGAACTGAGACAGAACCCTGTGGCATGCTACTGAAGACTTTCCTCCAGACTGATCTGGATCAAGCATTCTGGGATATTACTTGACCAGTTCTGAATCCACTTAGTTATAGCCCAATACAACCCACATTCTTCATAAGCATCACTAGAGAGAGACTGACGTGTCTAGAGATGGAAGATTAGAGTTTATGAGAGGGAGAGGGCTGGAGATAAAGATTTGGAAGCTATCTATAGCAGAGGTTTTCCTCTCTTGGCTACATTAGCGTTCCCCAGGGAGCTTGCTAGAAGATTTATTCCTGGCTTCACAGCCTAGTGACTTGGATTCTGTAATATGGATGAGATAGAAGAAACTGCTCTTATGCAGGCCCCTCAGGATTCAGATGCAGCTGGCCTGAGAGGGCTGGTGTTTGGGCAGTGCAGATCTCTCTCACTGAGCTGGTGAGCGGATCAGGGCTCGGAGACTTTGCAGGAGGCTTTGCACTGTGGGGAAGGGCACATGAAAGCAAAGGAAGGGGAGCCCACAGAGGAGGGACGGGGTCCCTTGGAGAAGCAGTACAGATGGTGTCCTGGAGGCTGGGCCAGGGGCGCTGGCTGCTGCACAGAGGCCGGGCACCAGAGACCCCACGACAGTGCGTGGAGTTGCAGGGCTTCTGTGGAGTTTCTGGTATTTCAGGAAGTAATGGGCAGGGGGGAAATGTCAAAATCAAGTTGTAAAAGGAGGTGCTGGTGTGGCTTTCATAGGGGAGGGGAGGGCAGGAGCAGTCACATGCAGGGGGCCAGTGGTGAGGGAAGGGTTGGTGATGGGGGGAGTCAGAGGTCGAGGGGGCAGGGAACTGAGGAGGCAGGAAGGAGTGAGCTGAGCACAGTGAGTCTGGGGCTGAGGGGATGAGTTGTCTGAAGGAGCTGGACCCCTCACACCCCAGAGGGAGGGGTACCTCAGGTGAGTATCTAGAGGAGGATAGATGGGAGACTTGTGGGGTGCTCTGAGAGCAGAAAATAGTTAAGGGGAACAGAAAATAGTAAGATGTATAGGGAAGGACCAGACTGCGTGAAAGAAGGTTTTCCCCCAGTGAACTGAGAATATTGCCTGTGTTCTTTTGTTCTGCTTTTTAATCCCTGGTTGGTGCTGGAAAAACTGAGCTGGCCAGGGCCGAGGGCTGGGGCCTGGGCCTGGGGGTCCGTGGGAGGCCATGGCAGCCAGCCTCACGCGGGATGGGGCTGTCCTTGGCAGTACAAAGCCAGCTGCAGCCGCCACTTCATCTCGGAGGAGGCGCAGGAGCGGCAGGACAAGGAGGTCTTCCAGCAGAACATGAAGCGGCGGCTGGAGTCCTTCAAGTCCACCAAACACAACATCTGCTTCACCAAGAGCAAGCCACGACCACGCAAGGCCGGCCGCAAGAAGGTGCGTACTTTCCCTGGGACTCCCGTTTGGGGCTGGAGACTGACGGCACACAGCCTGAGCCCCCGTGTGTTGGGGTCCAGGCCAGGGGGCGTCTCTAGTTGGATAATCCTTAGGTACTTGTGGCTGTGGCCTCTTGGGTTCCCCTTTGCCTCTTCCGCCAGAAGATGACCCATCTGGAGCCCCAGAGGGTCAGGTGAGGCCTTCAGAGCATGATGGGCCTCTCCAACCATGGTCTCTCTCTGGGAGGCAGCAGGACATTCTCTCAGAGGTGAACTCAGCAGGAACCCCTGATTCAGCTCATGCTGCCGAAGGGTGACCCCTTACCGGGGTGTGGGATACTCTGACTCCACACTTGCCTGGGAGGCAAAGGGATACTGGACCCACTGGGTGGACACTAGCAAGCTTGTCCTCCTGTTGACCCTATGGGTAGGCAGGACTGGGGTTTGGGGTTTGGTGCCAGAGCCAGAGGCTTGAGGTTTTTTTTTCTCGGCCCTCAGAAGGACGGTGTGGCTAGCACTGAGGCTACTAATGGGAAACCTCCTCGAGACCTGGGCCTTCAAGACACAGGCAAGCCAGGAGCAGGGGTGGGCTGTGTGTGGGGGTGCAGAATGGTGGAGGACCCCTCACAAACTGGAGCCCTAGGGACTAGTGGGGCATGTTTGATTTCAATGTTGCAAGTGCTCCAAGCAGGTAGCAAACAACTGTGAGAGGGTCTACTAGCTACTTACAGGCTATAGGCCCTGAGGGTCATGGAGAAGGGGAGCTTGGTCTGGGCACTGAAGGGCAGGTGGGTCCTGGGGTCCAGTGTCTGCAAAACCAGCAGAAGTTTGCATGAGCCAAATGAGAACAGGCCTATGAGCACCCTAAGATGCTCCTGTTTTCAACTGGAGTGGGGTCTGGGGCTGACAGGTTGGGGGAGCTGCACAGTGTGGCTTCCCTGGTGGCTTCATCTGAAGACTCTGCTGTCCCTTATCGTCCCTCTGGGCTCTACATCTCATTCCCCTTCCTCTCAAGGCCCCCAGCCCCCAGGCTGGTGCTCAAGTGGCCGAAGGAGAAAGCAGGCAGCTGTGCCAGCTGTGGGCTCTGCCTGGGGGGCCAGGGAGCCGTTCAGGCTAGTGCGCTGCTGCTGGGCCAGCTGCCCCCCCATTCAGCTCTTGTCCCTGTCCAGCTGCTGTCATCTTAACGGTGGAGTCCGAGGAGGAGGAGGAGAGTGACAGTTCGGAGACAGAAAAGGAAGATGACGAGGGGATCATCTTTGTGGCTCGGGCCACCAGTGAGGTTCTCCAGGAGGGCAAGGTCTCAGGTAATGGCTTCCCTTGCCACCCTCCTCCCTCTTCACTCTTGGCCTCTTCTACCCACCGACTCACCACCCAATAATGACTGAAGATCTCCTTACATGAGACCCCTGCCGTAAACGATCTGATTCACTCCTTAAAACAAACAAGATGGGGAAACTGAGCTCAGTGAACTAAAGGGACTTGGGACTTGTCCGTGACCCTCAGAAGACCCAGGTTCGGCTTGAACCTAATCCATCTAATTCCACAGCCCACAGCCTTCGTCCCGCCTCCCTGGCAGTCTGTTGAGGAATAGGAAGTGATGAGCAAATCTGACTCTGTTGCACCCAAGTTCAGCAAACCTGCCTTCAGGGAGAGCCCCCAGGGTATTGTGATCCTAAATCCATCAAAATGAATTTAGGGGGAGGGCCCTAAATCCATCCAAATGGAGTTATGGTGGCAAAAACAGTGGAGTCTCTTATGATCATCGTCACTGCTGCTTGGCTCAGGCGCCCTCATGTGTTTTTATTTTAATTTTATTTTTTAAAGATTCATTCATCTATGTTTTCAAAACTGGGGTACAGGCCAGAAGTGTGGGGGATGAGATTCCCCAGAGACAGACTGGGGAGCAGAACAGGCAGATGGACTGAAATACACTGCTGAGGGGAGCAGCAGGCGAGACAGGAGAGGTCTGCTGGGCCATGTGGGCCAACACCCCCTAGCCCTAGGGATCAGAACTCGTGCTGTAGTGGCTGCAATAGCTTCATCGTGCTGTGCTTCAACCCGCTGCACCACCAGAGAGGGCCCCCTCATGTGTTTTGAAAAAAATATTTTATTACAGAAAATTTCAATATGCACAATAGACACCGCAGTAAAGGAAACGCTCATTGACCCATTACTCAGCTTCTCTAACCACCCACCTATAACTGATGTTATTTCCTTTCACCTTTGCCTTTCTCCTCACTGGGTTCTTTTGAAATAAATCTCAAATACCCATCACTTTATCAGTAAATTCTTCAGCATGATCTCTGAAAGATAAGGATTCTTCTTAGGAAACAGAACCCTAATAGCCTATCACATCGAAATCCTGTCTTCAAATATCCAATAAGTGGTTATAGTGTCCACATTCATTTTTTTTTCTGTAGTAGATTGTTTCAAATGAAAAGTCCAGAACAGGCATTTGGTTGACAGGTGTTTAGTCTCTAGCACTGCTCCTCAAGGGGTTCTCAAGGTGGCAGTGGAGTGAAACCCCAGCACCTCAGGGGACAATGGACAATGTCTGGAGCTATTTTTGGATGTCACAACTGGAGGAAAGTACTTGGACTGAGTGGGTGGAGGCCGGGCAGCTGCTGAACGCCCTCAGTGCACAGGACAGACCCTCACAACAAAGAAAGTATCTGTTCCAACATGGCGGCGGGGTCATTTGACTTATCGGTCTCTCCCACCTACTTTCTTTTTCCTTAAGTGTATTTAGTGAAATAACCTGGTTATTTGCCCCACAGTCATCCCCAATCTCCCAATCTGGATTTTGCTGCTTGCATCCCCAAAGTGGTATTTAACATGTTTCCCTGCCTCTTACTTCCTTTAAACCAGTAATGAGATCTAGGTCAGATTTCAGTTCTAATTTTTGGTCAGAATACTCTGTAGGTGGTGGTGGCTGTGGGCTACTGATTACATCACATCAGGAAGCACATGCCATCTGGCAGTCTGTCTGGGTTATTAGCCTCAGCCACCCATTGTCAAGTTCCTCATCAGCCTTTCATCACATGTTTTTTTTATTGATGATCTGATCCAACTTGTAGCTAGATCCAACATTTTATTTAGGGTTGTGTAATGGTGTTATTCTACATCTATTTTTTCATCTGCAATTATTCAGAATTCTCCTATAAAGAAAAAGTTCTGCATGATTTTACTTACATTTTGAGATACATTTTATACAGGAAAGAATGAATGAAGGCTTGATTTAAATTTTTTTTAATTTATGCATACAAGAACTGGGATACATACAGGCCAGGGGTGCAGGAGGTGAGAGGATTCACCAGAAACTGTGTGGAGCAGAACAGGCAGATCTACTGAAATATACTTCTGTGCCAGGGAGCTCTCATGCTGGGGCTCGAACTCACACTGCAGTGGCTGCTGATAGCTTAATAGTGCTGACTTTAACCCTTGCCACCAGGGAGGCCCATAAATGCTTGATTTTCCCCCCTACTTTATTTACCAACTTTTAGATCAATGAGTTAGCTCTCTAGCATCCTCCAAAGGCAAACACTGAGGTTTTTTCTTGATCTAGTTTTGTTGTCATTGTTAAAACGGACTATTTTGGATCTATTGAGAGCCGCAGTCTTACTTTCAATCTCAGCATCAATACCTGTCCTAACATACTCGACCAAGTATATCGGACTATGTAGGCTCTATAAATGAGCAGACATACACTTAGCACCTATTTGCAAGTCTCTGCTTGACTTCGGAGATCAGGGCTGGGGGGTGAATACCAGAGGATTCCACTTTCCCAGGTTTCCTCTTTGAGAACCTCAGACTTCCTGTCATGGGGTGGCTGAGTCTTCGCCTTCCAGCCTGGCTGCCAGTGATTCTGGGGTTCTCAGGTCATGTCTCCTCTGTCTTCCCAGTTGTGGCCCAGCCTTAGCCTGCTATTAGGTTTGCATGAGCTCATGTTCCTGGGCTGGTGGGTGCTCAGGCAGGATGCCCGGCCACAAAGCCTTTGGCTTCTTTGCCCTTCCTGCCTTCTCATCCTGGCTGCTGTCTGGGATGGCTTGGTGGGATGTAGTTTTTGAGACTGGTGCTGCAAGGGGATGAGGGTTCAATGCACGTGGGGCTTCTCTCTTGCCTGGTGCCTGCTTTCTCCTGGCTTAGTTATTGACACTTGTTCGGTAGGTGTTTGCTCAGCAATTACTACGTTCCAAGCCCCATGCCAGGTGCTAGCAGTACAACAGAGAGCAAAACCCATCGTGGTTGTTTCCCCTCAATAAGGCTTTCATCAAAATTCACCAACGAATCTCATAAGGGGATGGTATATGGCAACTGCAGGATGACTTACTTGCTTATACTTGAAAGGACTTCACTGTGTCAGTAATAAGCTCCTGTGTACTTTCTGTCCCTAGGGAGCCTCGAGGTGTGCCCGAGTCCACGCATCATCCCCCCCTCCCCAACCTGTGCAGAGAAGGAGCTACCCTGGAAGAGTGGGCAGGGGGAGCTGGCGGTCTATGTGTCCTCAGAAACCACCAAGATTGTGCCCGTGGACATGCAGACAGGCTGGAACCAGAGCATCTCGTCCCTGGAGAGCCTGGCGTCCCCGCCCTGCACCCAGGCCCCCACTCTGACCCGCCTGCCTCCCTGCCCACTGGCGGCTGAAGAGTCCCAGGCCCCTCTCGACCTGCCTTCTGATCCCCACTCTAGCTTCGCCTTTCCACCTAGCCTAGCCAAGGCGGGCCGCTCTCGCAGTGAGAGCAGCGCCGACATCCCCCGGCAGCAGGAACTGCAACCCCTCATGGGACAAGAGGACCACACCCACCTGAGCCCGGGCACCGCCAACTCCCACTGGTGCATCCAGTTCAACAGAAGTGGCCGGCTGTAGCCCAGGGAGCTGGGGCGGAGCAGGAGGCAGGAGCACCCCAGGGTAGCGTTCCCTGGGCACAGAGCAGAGCCACTTAGCCTGACATGGGGCCAGAGGGACCTGGACTGAAGTAGCAACCAGGCCTCTTCGGTGGGTCAGAAGGATGCCCCGGGCCGGTCCTCAGAGGGGCCCTTTTCGCCACCCTGCCTGCTCCTAACCCTGCCACCTTCCTTTTCAGTAAAGGCCTTGACAGCTCAGACCCAGTGCAGAGCTTCTGGGGGCCAGGCCAAGACTTGCAGAGCTGATAACCTTCCCCCGTGGGTCCTCGTGGGGTCACTCTAGCTGTCCTGTCACCAAAGCAGGGGCACCTCAGCTGATGCTGGTCTTTTTTGCCCTCTGTGCCCTGGTCAAAGACAGTGCCCTGGCAACATGTTCTGTGAGGGGCTGGTCTCAAAGGGATGGGGATGGGCGGAGGAGTAGGCTTCATCTTGAACTTCATTGCCCTGTAGGGTCAGCTCCCCATAACTATTTTTTTAGGGCAATGGGAATGTGCCCCCACTTTATCTCTTTCCCTCTGCTGCCAGTTACTGAGGCAGCAGTTCTCCTTTTCCAGGACCAAGGCCACAGGGCTGGGCCAGGCTCCAAGCCAGGGCTGCTTCTAAGCCAGGGTCACTCCGGGAATCTGCCGCTCTTCATTCAAGTCTGGACCTTTCTCAGTCTAGGTTTTCTGAGGCACAGGAGATGGTGGCCTCTGAGGTCTCAATTACCACCTTGACATTCCCCAAACAGGAAAGGAACCAGGTACCCCAAGGCCCCTGCCCCCTGCTCCAGGGGCTGGGTCGGCTGGCCACAGAGGTAAGGAGGCTGACTGTTGGCAGGTGACTTTCCAGAGGTTAACACCTGCCTGTATTTTGTATCTTGAACCTAAGATATATTAAACATCTCTCAGATGGATGGGTGATCCGTGTCTGTGTGTGTAGGGGTTCTAGGCTCAGGGAGGATGTTTGAGGGGTTTAGAGAAATACGGGGTCTCTGATGAAGGAAGTGGAAACTTCTAGAGGCCTGACCCAGGGCTTTTGGAATAGAGAATAGAAGGGGGTCTTGGAGAGGACAGTTAGGTTCTCCCTCGCTCCTCCCCAACCCTTTCCCAATATCACCCCCTGAGCTGGGCGCCTGGGGTGGCAGTCCATGGAAGGTGTCACTGTATGGGCATGGGGTCACAGAACTGGAAGTCTACAAAATAGGCCAGCAGGTCAAGTGCCAAGGTGGCCAAAGATGTGGCCTCTACACCCTGGGACCAGATTAGTGGTCTGGGAAAATTGGGATAGGTGTAAGCCAAGTGAAGAAGTGACCTGCATGGTGGGTGCAAGGCAATCTCAGGGCACTGGGTACCCTGAGTGACACCATCCCAATCGGGTAGTGTGGGGCCGTCCACAAATGTGCTCAAAATCCCTGGATAACAGCAGTCTCGGATTCAATTCCCACTATGTCTGAAGGGCTTTTTTTTTTTTTTTTAAAGATTCATTTATTTATGCATACAAGACCTGGGGTACAGGCCAGAGGTGCGGGGGTGAGAAGATTCACAGGAGACAGAGTGGGGAGCAGAACAGGCAGATTGACTGAAATACACTGCTGAGGGCAGTGGGCAGGTCAGGAGAGGTCTGCTGTGCCATGTGGGTCAGCTCTCTGGCTGGGGATGGAACTCGTCCTAAAGTGGCTGTGATCGCTTCATAGTGCTGTGCTTTAATGCCTTTTGCCACCAGGAAGGGCCCTGTCTGAAGGGCTTTAAAAGAACACCTTTATCAACATATAGTATACGTACCACAAAACTCACCTGTTTATAATGTACAGCTCAGCGGTTTCTAATATATTCAGAATTGTGCAACTCTCATCACACTCTAAGTTTAGAACAGTTTCACTGTCCCCATAAGACATCCCGTCCCCATTAGCTCTCCTCACCCCCTGCCCTGCCCAGCCCTAGGTTTTCACTAACCTACTTTCTGTCTCTGTAAATATGAATGACTCTTGACACACTGTGAAAGTTACATTCAATCAACAAACATTCACGTTATACAAGAGGAAGAGGGACAGTGGCTTAGACTGTGCCCTCAGGTTGTCAGCAGTGATCTGGCCTAGGAATTAAGAGTCCCCGCTGTCACTCCCCAGCTATGTCATTGAAGGCATGTCACCTACTCTCTCTGAACCTCAGTGTCCCCCTCTCTAAAATTGGATAGCAATCAAACTAATTTCACAAGTTTGCTGTCAGAAGAATCTAGTACCGAGCCTGGCCCATGGTAAGGCATCACAACAGTTTTTCTTTATTGGTCTTACCCAGCATGGTGATGAGCAGGGAGAGTGGATCCTTCAAGAGACCTGAGAAGGTCTTGGGAGGAATTGTGTCTGCATGGAGGGGAGCAGACAGCACAGGCAGAGTAGGGAGGACGCATTCTGGTCAGAAAGAAGAGCAGGAAGAAAGGATACTGGTAGCACACTTGTTAAAAGGCAAGAAGCAGAGGGGTTTGGGGTTGGGAGACACTGGCCAGAGACACAAAGGCTTGGGTGAGGAGACCCTGATGAGCATTTGGGGGTGGTAGAGACCTGGCCTGGGAGAGTTGTGGGGTGGGCAGTGGTATGGGCAGAGGTAGTGGCTTTCCAGTGGAAGACATATGAAACCCCAGCCGAGGGTTGGATTGGTAGATGGAAAGCTAGAGGTGCAAGTCCTGTTGCTCGAGCAGCCCAAGCTGGTGCTGGAGAGAGCAGGCAGTCATTCTCAGACTTCGGCATCAGAGTCTCTGGGGAACCTGTCTAACATGCAGATTCCTGAGCCTACCCCAAAGGTTCTGAGTCAGTAGACCTATTGGGGCTCAGAAATCAGTACCCTTAGCCAGCTCCCTGGAGGGAGGTGGGCCACAGACCACCTCCTTCCAGAATGACTGGAGTAGTAAGGCTGTAGAAATCAAATCAAAACAACTCCCTGGGGCTGAGAGTGGTGTAGGGGAGGGGGAGCAGTGGGCCTCCTGGTCTGGAGCTGGCTTGCTAGGAACTGTGGCACTCCAGCAGAGGGCTACTCAGAGATGCAAGGACTGGGCGAAGCCAAGCAGGGATCTGGGATGCAGGAGAGCAAACCAGTCAAGGGTGGTTTGCCTGAAGGGACAGGATGGCAGAGATGGCTTCTGTGCCACCTGAAATGGCACAGAAAGGGGGAACGGAAGAATGGGCACTTCTGGTAGGGGAGGCAGTTGGAGACAAGACTTACACTGAGATGAATTTTCCAGAGCCAGGAGCTGGACAGAAAAGCTGTGGGTGTGCTCTTGGATGACCTTGGATGTCACACTAAGGAGTCTGGAGTTTCTGGAGGCCAAAGGTGAAGGGGGTTTGGAAGGTCTGGGGTACTTAGCACCCTCCCTGTCTGGAGCTGTACTGAAGAAAGGTTTGGAGAGGCTGGGGTCCCTGATCCCCAGGCCCAGGAGGCACAGAGGTCCCATTTAATTTCTGATAGATATGTATTGGCAAGGAATAGGAGGCTGAGGGGGGCTGAGGGGCAGGGGAGGAAGGTCCAGCCCCATTCTATGATCTCAGTGGAAAAGGCTGCTGTTGAGTAGATTCTACTGCCAGGAGAGGCACAGAGATGAACCCCATGAGTCACTGCTCAGTCCTGCAAGCTCAGCCCCCAGAGCTGCTGAGGTCAGCCACCCAGGCTGGCTCTGGGCCCCAGTATTCCCCACTGGGCCTCAGTCTGTCCTCATTTCTCTCTGCATCTTTGCCACCCTGGGGCCATTCATCTTGCAGCTCTCTGCCTCTTCTGTGTCCCTCTCAGACTGAGCTTCTCTACTTGTGACCTGGCTCACATGGGAGCCGCAGGAGGGCAGGGTGGTGTGACCAGTCTCAGTTTGGTCAGAATAAGCACTTATCCTGTGCTAGGTCTTGTGCTGATGTCTGGAAGCATAGGCATGGACCAGACAGTCTCTGTTTTCCTGAGTTTACAATGCATATTCTACATGGAATGAATGGGCCAGGGCCTGGCCCTGCCCTGACTGTCTGCCTGTTTGCAGGGTTGCTGAGGTCAGCTATAGTCTGTGGCTTGCAGCTTCTTATCTGTCCCTGGCATTGTAGAGGAATGTGTACCTGCCAGCAAGTCTACCCTTGACCCCATGCTCCAGTTCTTCGGGATCCTGGGGAGTCTGGCCAGTTGGGAGGGAGGGTACAGAGTGGCAGCAGAAGGGGAGGGAGAGAGCAGGAGGTAGTGACTCAGTGGGGTGGCCCTGGGACAGCTGGGGAAGGAGCCAAGATTGGTCCTGATGCTCACTGAAGCTAGAGGAAGGTGGCAGTGGAGCCGGACAACTCCCAGCTGAACAGCTCACGAGAGCTTCTTGGTAGCTGGGCTGGGAGTCTGGAGTCTGGGGGCTGATCTGGTAGCTGCGATGAGGCAGGGAGGGAGGAGACTGCTGTTCCCACTGTACCTCCTCCTGATGCCCAGGTTCCCTCATGAAGGAGGCTCTTTCTTTAAAGCCACAGAAGCCAGGACACCTGTTCCCAATCCCCCACATCCCATCTCCTGCCCTAGGACATGGGCATGCTTGGGCATAGTGTCTTCTGCCACAAAACTGACCTCACAACCTTTCCACAAACTGGGTAGTGTGACACAGGTCCACATGTCCCAAAAGGGCCTCATACCTCAGAGTTGGCAGGGATCTCACAGGTGAATAATCCAAATGACTTTCATCAGTTCAGGATCCCCTGGCTGGGGGCAAGGAGAAAGGCACCAACAGACGGATCAGAGTCAGAGAGCTGGCAGTGAGTCAGGTTTGACACCGAGGATCTTCCCCACTCCTCCTGTCAACCCAGAGAAAGGAATGACTTTTTTCCCTCGTAGGTGAATGAGGTGAGGCTCAAAGAGAACAGGGTTACTGGAGCTCACCCAGAAGGTAGGCGGAGGGCTGGGTTATCTTTTGGTTTCCGGACCAGAACCTCGGTCCCAGCCTCCTTGGGTGGACCTAGTGTGTCCTTTGTGGAGTGGGGTGGGGTGGGAACTGGGATATGTCTGGGACAGGAGTAATCCTGGTGGACTGGTGGACCTGGCAGGCTCCCAGCCTAACAGCCTCCTCTTCCATCCACCAGACAGCACCCCCACCCCACCAGGGGTCATACAAGTTGTATGCTGGTGTCTGGGCCTGGGGTCTGGAGGGAAAATGGGGCTGCAATAGTGGTGCCCTTTCCTCCCATTTTCTTTGAAGACAAGCCCACGGGCTACCAGCACTCCCAAGCAGCTGGCCTGAGCACAGGCAGCTTCTCTTTCTAGGAGCCTTCTCGATTATGGGCTCATGCTTTTCTTCTCTGAACTGCCTGAAGAAAGCGTGTGGAAGGCAGCTGGCCAGGCTCCCGCACACCAGGCTTTTGCGGAGCAGAAGCGCCCCCAAGCCCCTGCCCTCTGCCCTGCCCCTAGGCGGCCCCACAGGCTCACTCACCTAGTCCCCTCCCTCCTGCCCCAGGGGTACAGCTTCCAGGCTCCTCTCCCCGCCTCCAGGGGGTACAGCTTCCAGGCTCCTCTCCCCCACCTCCCCCAGGGGTACAGCTTCCAGGCTCCTCTCCCCCGCCTCCCCCAGGGGTACAGCTTCCAGGCTCCTCTCCGCCCCTCCAGGGGGTACAGCTTCCAGGCTC